CCCCCCCCCCCCCCCACAAGTGGATCATGTCAAAGTCAGGAGGGCTGAGGACGGCAAAGGAGGACAAGGCACTGCTGCAAAATGGAGGACCTTCCTGAAAAACAGAGGACATGGCCACAGAGAAAAGCTACAAAGGACTCATAGAAATCCATGTTTCCTCATCATCCTCACAATGGAGGACCTTTGGGGATTCCTCCTGGACAGATGGCTGGAATGGAGGACGTGTCCTCGAAAAGGAGGACATGCCTGGTCACCCTGTGCAGGGTGAGACCAGAGGTCCAAGTTGAGCTTCCCAGTGTCCCCAGTGCCTCTTCCTCTGCAGAACTGGGGCACCTATCCAGCCCTTTCTCTGCCATTGCTGCCAAGACCCTGTCTTCTGTTGGCAGGCATTTATTGCATTCTGGTCTTTAGCCTTAATAGTCTTCTGTTCCATCACAATTAATAAGGGTGATACTTATATATTGGTGCAACAGTCACAATAGCCTAAAAGACATACAGTCTTATAACATGTAACTTGCAACACTTGACAATGCATTTCTCCATCATTAATTAACCTAATCAAATAATAATAATAATAGTAATTTTTATTTTTATGTCGCCTCTCTGCAGCGCAATCGAGGCGGCGTACAGCAAATTAAAACAACATTACAAGTTAAAACAGTCGAACAACCCCTTCCCTAACCCACCCAACCCTTAAAAATATATTAAACTATAACAAGATTAAAATACAAAATAAAGGAAAACAATACAATACAAATAAATAGCAGCTCCGCAACAAAAGAGCTGGAATCATTATACTCTTCTTTGGGCCAGGATGTTATTCAGGGAAGGCCTGCCAGAAGAGAACCGTCTTTACTGCTTTTTTAAAGCAGTCAAGAGTAAGACGGATCTCATCCGGCAGGCCATTCCATAATCTGGGGGCGGAGGCAGAGAAGGTCCTCTGGGAGGTCGCCGACAGTCTGGTTTTTATGGGCTGTAACAGGTTCCTCTCAGAGAACCAAAGTTCATGTTTCATTTTGGATTGTCATTTCAAAGGGTTTTCATAAGATGTTCAGAAATGATTTACCATTTACCATCTTTCTGCTAACATGACTAAGGACATTATCAAACGGGGGTAATCCACACAAAATCCAGACAGAAACTGGATTAGTGCCCTGTGTTTTCACATGACGTCGCACAGAAACTGGACAGAAAGTGGACAGAAACTGGTGTTAACCGAGATCTTTTGAAATTCGGTTCTTTGGAGGAAATGCAAATGCGCAATTAAGGTAATTTCGCGATTAAGATAAATTCGCCGTAATGTGGAAAGCAAATGCACATTTGGAAGCATTTCCCCGCATTTTTCCATGGTTCCGCGGGGTCCTGGAGGCAGCATAAGCGTCTCCTTCCCCCTCAGCAGATGGCTAATTGAGCCGTCTTGGGGGCAGGGAAGGGGAGGGACAGATGCACAATCGGCGCCCCAACCCCTTTACCATTTCTTTAAATCTGGGGCTGCTCTGTTTTTGACTAAGCAAAGTGAGCCCTTTGGTTTAACTAACAAGTTCAGCATCCTGTAAAAAGAGCCCAGCTCCAGGTGTCCAGATGTCCTAATGGCAAAGGCAGACAAGGCACTGCAAAATGTAGGACATTCAAGAAAAATATAGGATATTCCCCAAGTCGTCCTCGGAGCACCGACCCTCCACAGGGCCGGCGCTCCAAGGAGGACCTCCTCGGAGAACGGTGCGGCAGGAGGTCCTCCTCGGAGCGCCGGCTGTGTGGAGGGCCGGCTGCTCCGAGGACGACCTGGGGAAGGGGTGACAGCCGCGGCGAGTGACAGCCGTGGCGAGCATAGTGCACATGTGCTAGAAGATCATTTCTAGTACATGTACGGGATTTTCTCGCTTGTGTGTGAACGTTAAATGCGGTTTCAGGGGGAGCTTCCCTTAATTGCGCAATTCAGGTAATTACGTGTGAAAACCATTTGCGGAATTAGGGTTTATTTTCAGTTTATTTTCGGAATTTGTCACTTCCAGTTTATTATCGCTTTGTGGGCCACGTGTGATAACAGATGGAGAGAAGCTGGGCTTTTGCAGACTTGAGCCTACTTCCTCAGAGGCATGTTTGGAGAAGAGAATCCAGAGACAGACAGACCTTTTGAATTGACATTGACATTCTCCTCCACAACTGGCTTATATAGGTCTGTCTCTGGATTGCACTGGTGGTTTCCAATGACTTTCTGGTTTGAATTACAGGTGGTGCTGATAATTACATTTAAAGCCCTAAAGCAGGGGTAGGCAACCTAAGCCCTGGGGTCCGGAGGCGGCCCCCCAAGGCCTTTGGACCGGCCCCAGGCCGGTCCTGCTGCTGCCGCCCCCGTTCCCGCCGCCCACCATGATGATATTGAATATTGTTGTTATTACTTGTTATTGGGTTTTTTTGGCAAAATCTCCACAGGGGTTTTGCCGTGGCTTTTCTGGGGCTGAGAGAGTGTGCATGCATATTATTTATTTATTTATTTATTTATTGTGCTTCGGCCCCCCCAATTGTCTGAGGGACAGCAACCCGGCCCCCAGCTCAAAAAGGTTGCCTACCCCTGCCCTAAAGGGTTTGGGACCTTGGCATTTGAAGGTGCACTTTTTCCCATAAGTTATATTTGCCCAAAGACCACAATCTGCTGGAGGGGCCTCTGTATCCACATGGAAATGAACATGATTACATAAGGAAGAAGAAGGAAATGGTAGGGCCACTGCGTGGAGAAGATGGCAA